AATCTAAATCAAGGAATTATTACTATTTTAATAAAGTGTGTGTGTATATATGTAATATATATATTAAATCATTATTTGAGAGCAAATTGTCTCATGATCTATAACTTACTGACATCTATGATTAGCTTTTAAATTATTTCACACTAAGGTCAAATCTAGGTACACTACTCACATGAAGAAAACTAATGTGAATTGTGAGCATACAGCTTTTAAAGGGCTAGCCACGAACACCAACATACAGAATATATATTATCCCCGGTGGTGCAGTGGTTAAGAGCTTGGCTGCTAACCAAAAGGTCAGCAGTTTGAATACACCAGCCACTCCTTGGAAATCCTGTGGGGCAGTTCTACTCTGCCCTATAGCGTTGCTATGAGTCGGAATCAACTTGACAGCAATGGGTTTTCGTGTATTAAAATTAGGATAATAATGGTAATGATGCAAGACTGAAGCACAAGTTAGAGCAGGATGGTTCTAATGGTCTGAACAAAAGTCAATGGGAAAAAATTATCAAATCCTTTTATTGCTCCACTTGTCCAGAGACCATCATGTTCTATCCATTAATACTCTGCTTTCTTATTCTTTAAGTATGTGACTAATACGGTGTTCCAGAGAAAACATCCGAGACAAATTAAAAACTTCATATATTGTCCAGAATGATGTGAACTGATGGCAAGTTTCATCAATGCTATGTAGAGAACACTCCAAAATATCAATTTATGGGAGGATCCCAGGATATCTTTGAAGTGATAGACACATTAATTTTCAGATGATGTAAACCCCTCAGATTCTGTTTACTTTAACTTAATGCTGCATAGCAGCATACGAATCTGAAAGGAAATCTAGACAGCTGCATGTGCATACATACACACACATCAATGTTGTTTTCAAATCTTCCACGTTTACATAGAGATTCCATCAAGCATAAGGTAGGTGTTTGCCAGTAGGTTTTTTTTATCCTGCCATTTTTGTCTCTGACTAAAGCCAGCACATAAAAAGACTGGCTTTGAGCACTTAGAAAAAGTAAACCATAAGCTTTAGAAGTCAGTAAGGTCATGAGAAGACATAACTTGTTGGATGTCATCATGGATGTGGCCTGCATTTCCACAAGGAGTTCATTTCTTGGAATAAATCTTAGTATATATTATATAGTAAACGAAGATACAACATAGTGGGTCAGATAATAGTATAGAAACTTCTTGATCATGAGTTCCAAGTAATAGCAAAATGACAAAACCTTAGTGACACATCTGTGAGACCACATTGTGAAAACACTCATTGAAAAAGATGGATGGATCATGTGAAACACTTCAGACTTTAGAAATGAGGCAGAAAACTGGGTTCTACTGTTACATTTTAGATGATAAGTGGGCGTTGCACATAGAATAAATTCTAAACCTAAGAAATTGAGGTTAAAATATCAATTCTGATTAGTAATTGCAGGTAATACTCTCTACCTAAAGTTAAAGGCCATACTTCATTTGAATCTTCTAATTAGGGTAAGAATGACCTGCAGAGGTGATTAAGACTTAGTTGGTATATAACTTTAAGTCTTCACTGTATGACTTGAAAGTTAGAGATAAGACTTACTTTCTGAGTTTATGCACCCTTGGGGGAGATTTCCAAGACTATGCTTTACTTCTCAAGTATGTGCCTCTGAGGTACCTGAAACACTTGTATTAATCAGTTTCATAATCATTATTATGAGATGAAAAATAGTCTGGCTTTGTTTCTTATTTTTCACTTCCAAAAACAATAGGGAGGTACAACCAGTTTGGAAAATTATTTGGCTGTATCTACCAAAGCCAAATGTATACATACATGAAGACCCAACAATTCCACCTCTAACTATGTACTCAACAGAAATGCTGAAAGACATGTACTAGAATATTCATAGCAACACTAGTTGTAGTAATCAAAACCTGGAAAAACCTAAATATCCATCAATAGTAGAATAGCTAGATAATTGTGGTCTAGTCACACAGTGGAATAATACAATGAGAATGAACAATCTACAATCACACACAATAATATGAATACATTTTACAAACATAATACCCAGTGAAAGAAGTCAGATAGAAGAGTATGTACTATGATTCTACTTATATAAACTACAAAAACAAAGCTAACTAATTCATGCTTTTAGAAGTGAAAATAGTGATTATTCTTGGGGTGAGGGTATGGTTTAAGTGACTGGAAGGAAGCATGATGGTGGCTTCTGGGGTGATTGTAATGTCCTGTTTCATGATCTGGGTGTTTCTTACATAAGTGTTCAGTTTGTAAAAATTGAGTTGTATACTTATGATATGTGTACTTTTCTATATGTGTATTATACTTCAACAAAAAGTTAAAAACAAATAACCAACAACTCTTCATCAACAACAATTATAACAACTAAAACCCCCCAAGCCCCAATTATTCAACAAGTTAATAGTAAAAATAAGAGGACCAGGAACTCAGGATTCTTAACTTGCAGGTTCATTCCACATCTAAAAGGCTAGTTTGACTCTAGTTATGACAGTATCTACAGATCCCAAGGATCTATAAAGATAAAACCGGTAATACCAGTATGTCTTTCTTCTTGTTGATAGATTAATTTTTCCTCTTCTTTTTTCTTTCTTTTAACTGTAGTTAATTTCTACAGCTCTTTTTTCTACCATAGGATATGCACTGTTTCAGACATTATCATTTTTACCTTGCACGAGTATCTAGCTATTCAGTTTGTTAGAGGAGGAAAACAACACCTGAAAATGCTTTGGGATCCTTGCATGAAAGCTAAAACAAATATTACCTCTATATCTCGTACACCGTTGTCTGAGATTGTAGAATAAACTTCTTGACCTGAATGGCTGTTTAAATACAACAAATGGGAGGATCATGGCTCAATATACTTCTGTGAATTAAATTGGACACTTTGGAAACAAACTTAATGTTCTGCAGCTGGCTGTCCCAATTTAAAACATGTAACTTTTGTAACATTGTGGGAGAGGGAATGCTAGTAGTATCAGATGTCTGGAAGTGAATCTGAACTTGGTGACTTTTGTAAACACTGTTTTTGAGGTTGTTTTCCACCTACATATAACCATTTTTATAAACTGGTTAACCAGGAATCCAGCTGCAGGAATGTTTGGATGTTTCCTTGCGCAGGAATTCATCATAAATTTTCTTTGTTACTCCCCAAAGACCTTTTATAGATGGACTAGTTAGTGATGATAACTTAACAATGGCTAAAAATTCCTGATGGAACTAAAACTTTATAAAGCCACAGTGGAAAACAAAAAACACTATGATGTTTGTCAATCCCTCCTGATACCATATTAGGTATGACTGAGGCTACAGAAGTGAATGGAATGAAAAATTAGAAAGTTTGAGCAGCTTTCATAGAATGGAGCCAAAATTATCTTAATCAAAATGGTAATGCGTCTGGAGTAAATATAAATGGAATGTAAGCGGGAAATCATTTAAAATCACCTTGTCTTGGATAGAATAAATTATTTTTTGGGTTTATATAAGGTATTTCACTCAAAATGAGGCCTGTTGTATTATAATGAGCTAAGTGGGAACTTAGCCACTCTAAAAAGTAAAACAAAATCTTTTAGACTGCACTTTGCAATATAGCATTTATACAAATCTTTTATTTTGCAAAATCACTTTTACTAATCAATGATCAAACTTCTTTCCCGACATTCACAATGTGCACCTAACAGTCAGCAATTTTGCCTCTTTTTAAAAATATTTTTTATGCCACCTCAAGACAAGCATGCACAGAGTTGCTGATATGGGTTCTTCATCACCACCTGCTTCCCTAGAAGGACCTACCTGTACCTATGTTCTTTTTTTTTTTTTTTTGAGGTGGGGAAGGGGTTCCTTTGCTCCTCCAGACTATCTGAAGTTCAATTTTATTTTTTGTATTATTTACACAACTTATCCCCCCTAACTGCTTTTTATGTGGGTTGGGAAGGAAAGCAGGAGTAAAATCAAATAGCCAAGGAGATTTTTTCAAATTAAAAATGACAAGTAAAATAGAGCACAAAATGAAATGAATGAATGGCTACGCCACACTTTAACTGTAGAAGCCAATACTGTATTAGCCAAAGAGCATCCTTACAAAATTTTAAACTGGGGCTGGCTTCTTCCTGTCATCTAGCATCTCTTTCCATTACTTATTCATGCATACTCAGAGAAGACAAAGCAGTTTTAATGTTAGCCTAAGCCAACTATAGGAGCCCTGATGGCACAGTGGTTAAGAGTTATGACTGCTAACCAAAAGGTCAGCAGTTTGAACCCACCAGCTGCTCCTTGGAAACCCTATGGGGTAGTTCTCCTCTGTCCTATAGGGACGTACGAGTTGGAATCGACGGCGATGGTTTTTTTTTTTAAGTCTACTATAAATGTGGAGGTAAATCTAGTGCTACTTAAAACAAAAATGGAGGAGAGGAAGGAAGAGAGGAGAAGAAGAAGGAAGACGAGGAGAAAGAGGAAGTGTGGCATATACCTAACCGAAAGCTAAAGATTATTATTTTGCTTTTCTAGTTTACCTACTGTAGGCCAATGCTGTAATTCTCTCAACATTTATGATTAAAGATTATTCATTGTTTTGTATTATATGTTGTATTACATTACACATATAACACTCAATTTGATTAACCACACAGGAGATGCAAAGGTCCTTGTGAAAAATAAAGTGTTTTTAAAATGTAAAGGGGATTGTTATTATTATAATACAATATTGAGAGTTAAAACATTCATATTGTTACTGTTGCTAGTTGCTGTCCAGTAGATTCCAACTCACAGCGACCCCATGTGTGCAGAGTAGAACTGCTCCATAGTGTTTTCAAGGCTGTGATATTTCAGAAGCAGACTGCCAAGGTTGTCTTCTGAGGTGCCTCTGGGTGGGTTTGAATCGTCAACCTTTCAGCTGGTAGTCAAGCATTAAACTTTTTGTGCCACCCAGGGACTCCTACCGTATTCATAAAATCATGGTATTCTTCTATCTGCTTACCTCTGACATATCATGCACCAACAAGAGAGGAATGCTTATTGTGGTGATGTCATGCGTACAGCAAACCTTGAGTATATTTCGGAGTCCCATAATGGCAGGATCACGGGCAGTGATGTTTCCTGATTTCACGTTGTCATCCACACATAGATGGAAAGCAACGTGGATTTCTGAGAGATTAGAATGTCGTGTAATGTAAAATTCTCCTGTTAACGATAGATACAATCATGATTTTCAAATGCATAAATCATATTCATCAATGGGCTTGATAAATAACTGCAAAGCTAAAAAGAGATGAGCTAATATAGTAGAACTAGAAGAGGTGTATCAGGAACTTATCTGGGGCTCAGGTAGCTACTATGGTTATTGTTCCTTAATTCTCGGAAGCAAACAGATAAAAATAACAGACAATAGCCACTTTTGCATTAAGTTCATAAATGGGTATGAAGTGATCACTAAGAAGTAAATCAAATGAGTACTCATCATCTCTATTTTGATGCAGAAACTTAAAATATCATGTGTAACTCAAATGTAACATGTAAAAACATGTTACCCCATTATGTGTCTTCCTCATTCCCTAAATCTGTTCTTCCTCTCTCAATTTATGGGCCCAATCTCCATCCAGTTAGTTGTTCAGGACAGAAACAGAAGAGAATTTGTCCTTAATTCCTTTTTCTCTTATTGCCTATTCCTCAACCCCTAATCCAATCCATCACTAAGTATTTACGTATTTACAGTTCTATCTCCAACAAATATCCTAAATCTACGCATTCTATTTTTACAGCTATCACCCTAGTTCATGCCAGTATCATCTCTCACCTAGGTTACTGTAATAGCCTCTTAACTGATTTCTCTCCTCCCATTCCTGCCCACCTACAAACCATTTCCTCCTAGCAGCCAAAATGATATACATGTAAACCAGATTATATCACTTCTCTACTAAAATCTTCCAACAGGCCCACACTGTATTTAGAATAAAATCCAAACTCTTTATTGTGACCTATAAGCCTATATGATCTGGACTATCCCTGCCTATCTCTCCGACATCCTCTTGTCTTACTCTCTCTCCTTATGCTCTAGCCATATAGGCTTTTGTTCATGTCTTCAAACGTGCAAAGTTTATTCCCGATTCAGGGCTGCTGCTTGAAAGGTTTTTCTCCAAGATTCTCACGAGGCTGATTTATTTTCATCAATCACGTCTCAGTTCAAATGCCACCTCCTCAGAGAGCTCTCCTTTGACTACCCTATCCAATATAGGACAACCCTCCCCATTCTTGTATATTATCCTGTTTTATTTTCTTCTAAGCACTGAAATATTTTGTTTATGTAGGTTAGTTTAAAGAGATTATAGTTTAAGCTGCATGACTATAGACATTTTTTATCTATCTTGTTTGATGTTCTACCTCTGCACACAGAACAGTACCTGGTGCGTAGAAAGTACTCAGTAAATATTTGTTAAATGAATGAATGTATGGTTTAGACCGACTGCTGGAATGGTGCTCCTCAAACCTTTAAAATCCATGCTCCCTACAATCACCTCATTTTTTATTTTTATTTTTTTTTATTGTACTTCAGGTGAAGGCTTACAGAACAAATAGTTTCTCATGAAACAGTAGTACACATATTGTTTTATGACATTGGTTAACAAC